AACCAACCGTCAGCATGACTCCTCCAATTACCAAGGAATACATTGTGTGTTTCCCCACCTCTTCAGAGGTTTGTGTATTAGGACACTTCCTAAAACAATAAAAGTGGGGGAGACGAGTGAAGTGTTTCCAGAGCTGTTCGGAGATTGTAATGGATTACACTCGTTCACTCTCCTTGTGCACAAATTAAAGACAATTCTGCTTGACTCCTAGTTTCTGTTGTGTTTTTCAAAGTTTGTCTTAAGGGTCTGATTGCCTGACAAGCGAGTTGACTGCAAACGTACATCACCAAAGTGTATTGTATTTTCACAAATATTGATTTGTATTGAAAATGTCCAAACAATCTTTGCACAGGCAGCGCCATGGATTTCCTCACTATCTGCGTTTTCTTTGGCCCTCATACCCATATCCTTTACCACCTATCCCAGCTGACTTTGGTTGACTGGTCACCAGCCAATCACAGGGCAGATAAAGACAAAAAAAAAAACAACATTTGCACTCACATTCACGCCCATGGACATTTTAGAGTCTTCACTCGACTCATTAAATGCCAAGAACAATTTAAGTTGTCTATTAGAAGCACAACGTTCCGTGCCAAGGTCGAGTATGTGTCATATATGAAAAAAGTGCAACAATGATGTTGGAAAAAGATTAAGATGACAAGGTCATCACGTGAACAGCCACAAATAGCTGACAGAGCCTTCCTGGTGTGTTGGAGTCAGTCCTGTGTTTGTACCACAAAATAGTTTATTATTTTGCAATCAAAAGCCTTTCCTAAATGTTGAATTAGCTGAATCGAATGAAACCACTGTTCAGATGTTAGAAATGGCACTAAAGGAAAATTATTCACAGTCACTGTTTTGACTGATTTGTTTGTTTGCACAAAAAGCTATTTTTCTCCAGATATTGGTCAAAGCGCCTGAATATCTTAAAACATACCTATGTTCGACTGCTGATTACTAGACACTGGAAAAACGTATAATCACTTTTTTTTTTTTGTTAATGTTGTACCTACTGTGTGAAACTACACTATATTCTGTGGGTTTTCAAAATTCAGCCAAAATACCGTGTTTTCCGCACTATAGGGTGCACCAAAAAGTCTTGCATCTTCTTAAAAGCTCACCGCGCGCCTTAAAAGCTGGTGCGCCTTGTGTATAGTCATTACGGTAATATGTCGACCCCAAAATGGCTCCTTGCTGGAGACATACTTACAATGTTATTCTGTAACTTGCTGTTGGTTCAGTGAACTGTGTCGCTGCTTTATTAAATACGTTTTTGTTGCAGCTCTGAAAGAAGGAGAGCTGTGGTGTTGTTTTTTTTTTTTTAAAATGCACACTTAATTAATGGTTTTCACAGTCTCAAAGTCTTTTGTCCATCTCCGTGCCTTCTGTTTCCGTTCGACTCGAGAGGCATTCATGACCGCCTCGGAAAAACGTAAAGTAACGATGCCTTCAATCAAACTACGAAAATTACAAATAATGCATCAAAACAGAAAATCAAGCCAGGAAATCACAAAATAAATTCTCTAGCCCCCCCGACAGAATTTATTTTGTAATTTCCTCGTTTGTGAATACACAACAAAGGAATAAATAACAAAAACTTCTGAGACAGTCCAGTCTCCAACATTTAACTAACATCTGATCGTTCTCTTGGAGCTATGATCAAGGAAATGCCAAGGGGAGTTGGGGTGGGTGGGGCTATAGAATTTATTTAGTGTGATTTCCTCGCTTGATTTTCTGTTTTTATGCATTATCTTCAATTTTCATAGTTTCATTGAAGTACTGTAATTGTTCTTTTGCGTTTTTCGAAGGCAGTCATGAACGCCTCTCGAGTCGAAAGGAAGGAGGGTAGTAGTCTAGTGGATGCATTGTAGATTGCGCCTTATAGTCCAGTGCGTGCAATATATGAAAACATTTTTAAAAAATAGGCCATTCATTGAAGGTACACCTCATAATCCAGTGCGCCTTTTAGTGCGGAAAATACGGTACTCGAAAATTGCTGCCACTCTTGGGCTGTGATGAGCGTAAATGACTGCCATTGAATGAAGTACAGTAACCTAACGTGCATGTTTCTGGAAAGCGGTCCTAACCAAAAATAAACTGGGAAAAACAATATCAGGACAAACAGAGCATTATAAACCTGAGATTCAGACTGTGAATCTCAAAACCATGAGGCAGACGTGCTAACCACTAGGACACGTTATGAAATATCTTACACTAACATCCAAACATGTCGCTGAGTTCCAATAGCTCACTGAGGCGACATGCCGGAATTTGTCAGTTTGTCCAATAGTGTGACCATCAGAACGATATTACACAAACTGAATGTGCTGCATTTTTTTTTTGTGGGTAACCCTGGATGACAGCCATGTGAAAAGCACAGAAACACAAACTTAAACGAATGCTCCCTGAGCCTACTGCTGAGTGTGAAACACCTTGCAAGGTTCCTGCCGGGCTGTTTCATGATTTCATGTGTCTCACCCACGTTCATGGCATCACAATCAGATTTAAAAACAAGATAAGAAAGCATTGTTTTTTAACATCTAACCAAGAGCGGTTGGGCTCAGATGTGACCCTAAACTGTCCTTCTGCTTTGAAAAGGCACTTTATACACTGGACACATGCTGGCAGCAAGGGCCGTGCTTGACTTCCTTCCACGTCAGGAAAAGGTTATCTATGACTATTTCTGTCGTTGTCACAATAAATGCATACAAACTACAGTATTTGTTGAGGAAAAGAAATACCAACAGTGTCGACAAATAGGCCAGTTTTGAGCAGTTTTACAGTGTATCTTCCTCCAGTACAGAGTGTGCTGTACTGTACCAGAAAAGATTGTCTTTGCCTCTACCCTCTTTACGCCTCCTCCTGAAAGAGAAAAGATCTTCCAAGATATATAGATTTGTTTATTTGTATGTACAAGCCAAAAGCTATTTAGATCCTATTTATATACAGAAACATAAGCCCCTTCATGTAAAATCCCCCTTGTCCAGAGACAATGCATCTTTTGCCTGAGGTAGAGGCATTATGCGACAATTCAAATACTTGATTCATTACCCACAGCAGGCAGTCTTTGCAGTGCTATGCTGAAGTATAATTCACTCTCTGGGTTAATTTTTTTATACACTAATCCACTACTTTGACACACAACATCAACATCGTCACAAGCTGAGAAATCATCACCATCGTCATCACCATTCTCATCATCCTCATCATCCACCTCCTTCATAACATCACAATCCAGCATCACTGTAGCAGATGCACTGATATACAGTATGTGTCCTCCTGCAGTCTCTGGGTCTCCTTCCTCCTTTGGTCCATCACCATGACGATGGGAGCCGGTTTCATGAATGCAGTCACTAGGCAACCAGCAGCAGCAGAACCCTGCTATCATGTAAAAGGAAGAGCAGAGAGCCTGATCCAGTGTTGTTCTGCACTCTGCCTGCCAGTTTACTCTTGGATCTATTAATATGTTGAATTTGTATTCAACAAAATCTTCTTATATTAAACTCACTCAAATTAGACTGACAGAGAGACCGCTATAGTGAAACAAATATGGTTACAGTCAACAAAATGTGATCGCTATGATGCTGTCACAGTTGGTTGTATATTTACATCAAGAATTGTCTCGATTTCCAGTGAGTCAATTATTATCTCAGCACAAGTACTGGAAGCATGTTAGTATATTTAGTGTTAAATCAAGGCACCTCTACTTCATAGCAAGTCTTATTTCAAGGGACCAACAAAGGACAGAGCACCATGTATGATTAAACAAATGCCCAAAGATGAAGCACATCAGTCTACAATTTAGATGACGAATTGAGCACTCAAATGCAATTGAATGTCAAGGTGCTGGAAGGTATTCTTCTTTTTTTTTCCCTTAAGAATAAAATAATCAGGCTGATGAATCTGACAGGATAGCTAATTGTTTTACTCTGCGTGGGAAAATACATTAGATGTTGAGAGAGAAGACCACAGAAATAAATCATCCCAAAAACAGAATAATGGACAGTTTTGAAAAATGATATTAAATGAGGCTTGTCAGAAGCAAGAACAAGGCCCAGCTAGAAATATGTATTAATAGACTCCTTCTATGAGGCAGTGTAGACAGAGGACATTTGAAATGTGTTGCAATGAAGATGGTAATGAAATATTCCCTTTGATAGAAGAAGCCTTTTGTTGCTCTCGTGTTGCTTTAGAGCCTTGCGAGTCAGAGAGAGTTACAGCACTGGAGCTAATCCAACAGAAGTGTTACCAGACTACAAACTGCAGCACCAATGGAGACAAACCATTCGGCGGACACAAGAGGGATGCATCCAACTTGAACTAGTACTATAAACTATGAGGCACAATGGCAATTAAGCTCCATAACAAGTGAAGACAAATATATTAGCTGATAATACAAAAACTCAAAAGGTGGAATGATTTACCATTTAACATGTGTGCATGAAAAAAACACAGTAGAAACCTTGTTGGTTTCGTTTTGAGATGGGTTTAATTAAATTGCATCACGCACACACACACACACACACACACACACACGCACACACACACACACGCACACACACACCCTTCTTGCAGTCGTGGTTGCTTCTTTGTATGTTCAGAAAGGACATGTGAAGTGAACCTTTTGATGTGTTTAAGAGATATGTACACAGATGTACACTGTTTATCTGCCCAATGCCTATTCCTTCTGCAGCCTGTTGCAACGCCAAAAGAATGAATGACCATGAGAATTAATTTGGGCCATAAACATGCAAATGCCCATGATGGATGCTGGACAAGGAAATTGAGAATTTCATAGGTTATCGTCACCATTATTTAGTGGTCCCTTCCTGGATCATACATTATGCACCAATTGATATTAGTTGTCCATGATTCTTGTATGTCACTTATCCTACCCATGCTCAATTTAAAGAACAAAATGGTGCAACATCCGGAATTCTATGCAATCTGTCACAATGTCGCCTCTCATCAACTCATTTCAATAAATGTATTTGTCTTACGTTGCAAAGTAGAATAGTTATCCATCTTCAGGCTGCAAGTGGCAGTTGCAATTCTCGGAAAAAGAAGGGAGAAACAACGGGGGTGCGGGGCGGGGGGAGACAACCCTGTCGTGGTCCGTAGAGAGACGCGTTTGTTGGATCAGTCAGACGAACCAAGCAGGGGTGACTCTCAGACAGGTACCTTGACCCAGTCCACCAGCCGCATCTTTAACGCCCCCGTAGCCAGAAAGCGGAGATGAGCTCATCAGTCCGGCTCGTCTTCAGCATCGCTCGGTGGTTTAAATCCAGTCAGTGTCGCCAGTCAGATGCCTCCGGTCAGTAAATTAAATGGAGATAAATGATTACACGGTGCCCACCGTGCATCCATGAAAGACAATTCAAGATGCACCAAAGAGGAGGAGATATATTATGGAACCCAGCGCGGGAAAAAGCTATGTCCTTCTGCGCGAGTCCGCTGCATTCAGCGGGAGCGTTTCTTCCCATCTATCTCCCTGAAAGGAAGGGGAGGAGGGAGCGGGAAGATGGATGAAGATGGAACGAGGACGTGGAAGGTATGTTAGAGGGTGAGCGTGCACCATGTGTGCGCCAGAGAGAGAGCGAGACGGGCAGGGGTGGGGGCATCGCTGAACAAAAAAGAATCCATCTTTTCCAGTCTTGGCGACAAGTTGGAATCAAATTTCCTAAGGTGAGCATAACTTTCACATACTGTATTTGATGTAAAAAAAATGCCTCATAACTTGGTTTCTACTTCACATTGTTTAAAATGGATTGGAAATAGTTGCATTTCGTGTGACGTCAGGTGGTCACATGGGCTACACCACTTGGGTTCATTTATGCAGTATTTAACATGTGGTTGAAGATGTACGCAGCGGGAGTGACGAGCTGCATGTGATTTTTTGGGGGGGTTTTTGGACTGGTGAGTAGCGCAGCTGACTCCATTCAATCTAAAACATCAGGCTACACGAATGTAGCCCAATTTTGAGCTGACAGACGTCTCGCACAGACTAACATCATGTCACGTCGCCGATTTTGAGTTGTATTGACGCGTCCTCAACCGTGTAGTGTGACATACTCAACAATTGGTCATGAGGCATTTGTGATGACGAAAGTCTGGCGTATGAGAATTTTTATTTGTCTTGTCGCATAGTGTGACATGTCCTCCGTCGTCCTTCAATTCGTTTTATTGACCAAGAGGAAGACAGTTGCCCTCCTACTATGACAAGAGACTGGGCGTGACGCATTCAACTACAATGTGGTGTAAAATATTGAGAAAGTAAAGTGAACAAAAGGGGGAATATTAATGCATTTGTAACATTCTGAGGATGGATAACATTGTACTTCCTGAGGCTGTTGAGGAAGCACGGCCTGCCACACGACGTGCTAAGACAGTTCGACACGGCAGTCATCGAATCAATCCTGTGTTCTTCCATCACAGTTTGTTTTGGGGCCGCCAGAAAAAAGGACAAAATCCAACTGCAACGGACAGTTAGGACGGCGGAAAAAATCATTGGTACCACCCTACCCACTCTTGAGGATTTGCACACTGCAAGAACCAAGACAAGGGCACGGAAAAATCCTACTGGACCCCGCGCACCCTGCCCACCACCTTTTCCAGCTACTCCCCTCAGGCAAGCACTACCGATTCATGCACACCAAATCCAGCAGACACTTAAACAGCTTCTTCCCTCTAGCCATTAACTCCTTAAACAGTAACCCAAATCTACCTGCATAGTGGCTCTTTGCAATTTTGCACAACCCTGTGGAACAGCATTACCACTATAATCATTGTAGCTCCAGCTCTGTATTTACTTGAACCCTTGTCACTGATCTATATACCACAGCACCAGACACTTGAAAGCACTCAAGGACATCTGCATAATTGCACACTTGTTGTACCACAAATACTGCTACTGGTCACTTTAAAATGGTGCAATGATTTTCTGCACCAACTGTACAACTGTTAGTATTGTATTCTATCATTGATTACTTTAGCTCTGCTTGATACTTTGCACATTGCCTCACAGCTGTCATTGGGTGGTACCACCACACAACGGTACACATTACGGAATGTCCTTCCATACTTATTTGTCATGTCCTTGGTTATGATGATACTAGTGCAGCCTGTACTACCGGAGACAAATTCCTTGTGTCTTCTACATACTTGGCCAATAAAGATGATTCTGATTCTGATTTCAGCTCATGCTACTTTAACAAATACAGTGGTACCTCCACTTACGAACGTCTCTTCATACGAAATTTTCAAGTTACGAAACGCCTCAACAAATATTGCCTCTTGTTATGAAAGAAATTTCAAGATATGTAAATAAATGTAAAAATACAGTATAGGCTCCGAGTCACAGCTCCAAGTTTCCTGAACACAACATACTTCTCGCTGCTCTGCCATTGGCTATTACCAAGCATCTTCCTGGCACCCCATTGGCTAAGAGGGACTTCTAAATACTGTAGATCGATATGTGTCTATGCAGCGACCTCGTCATTTGTCCCTCGGTCCATGAGGCCCTCCGATAGTTTTACGTAAATGTGAATCACCCAGAAAAAGTGTTCATCATCCCGGCGAGCACTCTCTCTGCTGATGTTTGCCTTGGACATTTTCGAAGGATTGTTTAAAGCAGACAAATGCAAACGTCCTTGGATCAGTTCTTTCCAATAAGCCAGGAAAAAAAAACACTTCTGAGAGAGAACATGAACTAAAGAGGACAAAAAACGATGAGGATGCAGTTAAAAATTAAATGACCATCATTTTTATTCTTTACTCTCTTGTTTGTTTTTTACATTATGCACAACTCTCAATTATTGTGCAATAATCTAATTGTAACATGTATTTGTTAAATTTTTTGATGCATTTTTATGCTTTAGAAAACATTCATGTCTGAATTCTGGGGGGCTTGGAACAGATTAGGGCATTTACATGGAAAACACATCTTTACACTTTTTTACTTTTACTTTACTAAAATTTTCTAGCGAAGAAATTTCTTTCAGAACCAATTAATTTCGTAAGTAGAGGTACCGCTGTATAAGGCAGGGGTCCCCAACCTTTTTTGTCCCACGGACCGGTTTATGTCAGACAATATTTTCAGGGACCGGCATTTAAGGTGTGGCGGAAATAATACAACAAAATAATATGGTATGAGCTGCATGAAAACTGTGGTGTTTTCGAAATATAATAATAAACACAAGGAGCGTCTAATCTGGCCGCAACACTCTGATCGCTATGGTAATGTTTAATGCCTTCAAAATACGATACAACCTCACACAGGTAGCATGTCGGAAATAGCAACAGTGCTACTGTGGCGATCTCAGAATATTCAGCCATAACTTTCATCCAGTTGTCTCGAACGTACTTTTAAGGCCGCCGTCATTTGCGATATCCAGCAGTTTTTTTACTCATTTGCGAGCTCTGGCATTATCTTTTTAGCGTAATCGGTCACGTGACGGAGAAGCGTGGCTTGACGTGTGTCAAGCGTGACACAGACGGATGTAACGGCGAATCCGGTATTTTTTCAAAATAAAACATCTTTGGTCTTCCGAAATAAATAAAACGGAATTCAGGCAAGTTCTTTCTGTGCGGCCCGGTACCAAATGCTCTGCGGACCGGTACCGGTCCACGGACCGGCGGTTGGGGACCCCTGGTATAAGGGATATGGGTCCTTGGAATACATGTGTCGCCAACAAGTGATGTCATCGGCTGTAGAAGTTGCCGCCCTAGTTTCCCGCCAGTTCGTCGCCAGGCTCGGTAGGAGAAGGTTGCATATTACAGTCTCTCTAGTTTCCTGGTCTACATGACTCATTTTGTGAGGTGAAGTGCACATGATTCTGCAGTTTATGTGTGCCCAAGCAGACCTGCTACAGGGCTTGCTAACTTTCTTTTTTGGTGCGCGCGCGTGTGTGTGTGTGTGTGTGTGTGTGTGTGTGTGTGTATGTGGAAATAAACAGTATTTTTGATACACCAACAGTGGCGTGGATGTAGAATTTTTGCCTCTCGTTTTTTTTTCTCGTCATCTTACTGACCTGAAACATTGGACTACCGTACATTTGCAGAACGAGAAGCTGATTAGCAATTGTGTGATGTCATTGAACAAATTTGTTGCCTCATTCTTTTTGGAGAATAGGCATCCATACCACCCTCTCCCCACCATCCAGAAACGAGTCCGCAATAAGGCTATTGTCCAAAATGTAACGTGTAAATAAGATGGAATTTAATCTAATTGAAGTGTTTGTGGGAAAACTTAATACCTGCAGTATCTATGTCCGTGGAATTGTCACATTCTTCCCACACATTCTGGAAGACAAGGCATCACCAACGTGATGTATTGCGTTACAAAAACGCATTTGGTCATTTAGGCCCACAGGAAATGGACTTGAGTATGTAATGGGAATTGCTTTGTGTCCATATTCTCTTATCTCTTTTGCTGCCATGGGATTATGAAGGTTGCCCAGAAAGACTGCAAGACCACTCACCACCTGAACAGCTATCAGGAGATGAATGTATGTCCATTGAGTGTGAAATGTTTGTCCAACCAGCCAGTTGTCAAAAGGTCAAAATGAAGGCAACGTACAGGGAGATGCCACACTATCTGGACCAGGTGTAAGTGTCTTTCCAAATATGCAATATCTACAGTGAAAAACTATGGAACTGAATACCATAATGGAATGCTTTTATATGTGGGTAGTGAAAATGATTTCCTACTTTCAGGAAAATTGTAAACGCCTTCATGACGATAAGGCATTACTTTTGACGGTAGAATTGGGGAGGATTTCTTTACTGTCATTGATGTCTCTAACCTGATATTTTTTATTGGTATGATGGGCAGTTTTCACATGAAAAGGATGAAAGAAGATACATTGTTGCCCTACTGTTGTTTTTGTAAGAGCTGTCTGAAATGGATTTAATGAAAGAAAACAAATGTGTTTTATTTAAGGTAGTGAGGCATGGGATACTTTCCCTACACTATATAGTTTTGGCATGAATTTGAATTTGGCATATTTAAACATGCAATAGTCTCATTTTTGCCGCACTGTCGACACTACACTTTGTTTCTTGAACACACATTTGAGAGTTGAATTTCACACTTTAATAACTAACACTGGATAGTGTGGATGCATATCAACACTTTGCTGGTGTTAAAATTAACAGCCTTTGATGTTGAATTAACACCAACAGATTTGTAATTTACAAAGCTGTACATATTGCACTATGATTCAGCCCTTGGCGAACACAAAAAATAGGCTAGCTTCACACCGTAGCTCAATTCCTAATTTATTTTTTTTTTTTTGCCCATATGCGACATGTATCAGATTTTTTCATGCAGTGTGAACAGTACAATTTCGATTTTTTTCAAATCCGACCTGGGCCTCTTTTGTATGTGAATATAAAACAGCCTGCAATTGGTTCGAGATTAGTTCAAGGTGCACCCGTCCTACTGCCCGAAGAAAGCTGGGATAGGCTCTAGGACTCCCACGGCCCTCGTGGATTAAATAATGGATGGATGGATGAATGCAATGTGTCTGCACTATGAATGCTCATCCGCATACATCCGACCTATACGTCAACATAAGCCCAATATGTGGGCGGGAGAGAGTGCTAGGGGGACTACTGACATCGTCTGTGAATCTGCAAAGTTTTTATGAGTAACAGGTGTTGTCTTTACATTTGACTTTAATGTAATCCCACTTGAAATATGAAGTGGACCTTTCTGATGATAGTAGTAATTCTGCCAGGAAGACGGTTCATTTATTACGTGCGGCAATGACGTGACGTAATCTTTAGAAGATTGATTTCTATTCAATTCATTTCTACCCTCTCCCGCCTCAC